TCAGGTGGCGGTGGGATGGTAGCGCAGGGCACAGTGGCAGAGTTGCAGTGGCAGCCTCCGTGTGCAAACCTCGTCAGGCCAGCTGGGCAGCATGTGTGTGACCCACATAGTGGCACCCCTGCCCATACCCCCCGGCCCTGCTCCTGGGAGTGGGCACAGGGGCACACACCCCACCATTCTTGATCTACACCCCCAGCACCTTCCCTTTCCTCTACCCTGCCCTGCCCCTGCCCCCCCCACACACACTACCTGCTGGGGTGGGTGTCAGTGTCAGTGGGTCCAGTCTGGGGGGCTGTTGCAAGGGGCATCAGGAGGGCTGTTGAGACTGTGGGGGAGTGTGGGGCAACAGCATACTGAGAGGGGCTTTGGGGGTGTGCCTTTAATTGTTATCAGAGATTTTGGATTTTTAACCAGAGAATTTGCTATTTTTAACCAGAGAAAAGCAGGATCCCTGCTTATCAGCCACAAATGGCTTCATTAGGCATTGGATTACACCACTTACATGAAAACTATGATCCAGAGGATCCACGATTACCTATATGTTAGTGATAATTTATGCAGCTGTAATTATCAGACAATTGGAACGACATTGTCATTACATGGCAACGTAGGAGGTTATGTGATTCCTAAGTGTTTGTCCCTATAAATGTCTGTCCTATAAACACTGTTATTGTGGAATGGGGATTATTGTTGCACATGCTTGGTTGCTAACAGGGCTGGTGAAAGAAATCAGACATATAATGTATATATGTCCCAAAATCTTGCCTGATTAATTATATAGTGGTTACAGTAACTTTAAACATGTGAGAAAAAATTGGTATGTCCAAATTCTTTTCCCATCCTTGCACAACCATACTCCACAGCATTTGAACCCCACCCCCACCATTTCCAGTTTAACTTTCGCTTCCCTTACTATTAAGCTACTAACATTTTAAAGCCATTAGCATGGAAAAAATTGTCCTTTGTTTTCTGTTACCTTCTATAGCTGGTACATATTTATTGTACATAAAATAGAAGCAGCAAATGGATAGTTGCACTGTCTCTTCGTATAGTTAGACCAACCTGTATCCTAAATCGGACCTCAGGCTCCATTTTGTATGACATGAGCTCTGTCAGTGCTTCAGCCATTCCATTCTAGCCATACCACTCATCCATCTAATCAGGCTCTCCTTCATGTTGACCATCTCTCTCTACCCCCAGTCAGTTCCCCCGCATCAAACACAGGCAGGCGTGGCATATATTTTGTATTTCCTGATTTGCAGAGATTTGCTTCGGGAGCCCTCCCCCAACAGATCCTTATAGTAGCATCAGGGAGATGAATCTTAGACTATACTAAAGAAATGCTATTAAGGCCTCATTAACAGATCCCCGGAAACGCATAAAGGAAAGGGGGAGGGGCTCACTCAAGAATGATAAACTCCAAAGATTGTGTTTTCTACATGGGAAACAGGGAGAGGGGGTTCTTACCCCCTTCAGGTTCATATAGGTGAACAGGGAGATGGGTTTAAATATACTTAGAAGGCTGGGGAACCCCAGATCTTGAGCATTAGATGGACTCACACCTATCTGTATGGCTTAAATCTGTTGAATACTGGGCATGTCTACACATGCACTTTACTGCACAGTAGACTAATTTACTGTGTAGTAAATCATCGCTGTCTACATGTGTGCAGTAATTGGCCCAGTGTAACTAATTTACAGTGCCATCAGCTAGTACCTGTGTCAGATGGGACTATCTGACGGCAGAGTAATTTACTGCACTTAACATACGTGTAGACAGTGATGCTGGGATTAGTTTACTCTGGCTCAAATTGTGCTGGAGTTTATTCAGTTGCATTAATTGCACGTGTAGACATGCCGACTGTTTAAAACTGCTTTCTCAAAAAGGTAAATGTAAGTAATTGCGGCCTTTTGACGCCTCATCAGTACTATGGTTTGATTCTCCAGGCATAAGCAAAAATAGTTGATAGAATGTGCCAAACTTAAGTATTTGTCCCCCTGAGATCTGTATTTCATTAATATCTTGCTTAAATATTGTCAAATTTAGAACACAGGTCTTGCCCCGCATGCCTAAAAGGCCTACCAAATTTCAGGACAATCTGCATAATCATGAGGATCTTAAAGCATTTAAAGGAGTCAGATTTTAAATAGAAATTATTCTCAAACATTAACTAGAGCAGAACTGACACTACTATAAAATCACAGAAATATAAGGTTGGAAAGAACTTCACTGAAGCTTTGAACAGTGATAGCTAGCTCACCTTGACTAACCTATTTTTTAAAGCTATCAGTGAAGAAGATTCTACCGTCATCATAACAATTGGAAAGCTTTTTCTATTATTCCACCTAAATTTTCTTTCCTGAAAAGTAAGCTGATTTTCTTCTCTCCCCAGTGGCCATGGAGAAAATTTGATTATTGTCCAATTTACAGAAAACTTCTTATGTACACTGTTATGTATGCCCTCAATCTTCTTTTTTCAGATTAAATGAACCCAGGTCCTTCAGTCTTCTCCATAAGCCATGTTTT